TATGAGAATCTTAACCTACACTTGAAGTGAACTGTGAGGGGTACAAAATCTTGTCCATACATTTTTCGGCCCGGAGTTTATTTTAAATGGTCGCTCTTAATCACAAGGGGGCTGTCCCGAAAAAAAGCTGTTTTGAGAAAATCGAAGCTTAAGTTTTGGACCCTTGTTCAGTTTCTTTAAAAGACAAGGAGATTTCTTTCTATATAACCAACAAAATATAAATACCGATGAAACCAAACTTCTGCCATACATAGGGCAATGCCCACTTTTGGTGTAGGTCAAGATTTCTGGAAACCCGGGAAATCTGGGTTAGTCTACTTGTCCTTAAAAGCGGCCAAATAATGTAAATTGGTTGAGTCTGTTTGTTTGTTTTTCCAACACAATTTAGATTATTCAGGAGGCGGGCTCCAACCCTGACTGAATGCGCCAACCCTCACTGAGAGGCATACAGCATCCTGCGAGGAACCAAGACACTCGAAAGCATTCTCCCCACTCGGAAACCGATCTCGAATCTCCTGCGTACGCCAGCGAAGCGCCTAACCCCCACACCACAGATGCCTATTGGTTGACCCAGAGTTTAAAGTTCACAGTCTCACAATTCCGTAGTGTCTGTCTGCTTTACCAGCACAAGAGCCCTATATGCTACAAGACAGCGGTGTGTCTTGCTATGTACAGTCGAATCTGCTCTAACGACCACCAGTATAGGAGGACAATCACATGTACTACTAACAGCCTCTTTCCATTTCCTCCCTTTTGTATATTTTTTCCCATTAAAATGACAACATGGAAGACAGAAACATGTATGAGACGACATGAGACAAAATTTTCTTTTCGGCAAAACGATGGTCGTCTTAGAATTATAGTGGGGTAAAAAATTAGAGACGCAGCTTATCCCCAAATATCTCATTAATGGGTGAATCAGTTTCACCCATACTTTGCACAGCGGTTTGATCAATTTGTCTTCATTTAATAATATTTTTCAACTGAAACTGGGGCTTGATTTAAATACTTCTCTTTATGAGTTTATATAAAATACTAAATATCTCCGTCGCGCAGAACATGGGATTGTTCACAACATTTTCCGCTTCTTACACACATTCTGAATACGCATGTACCTTTAAGGTATCGAATAAGCGTTCCCCCCTCCCCACTTATTAATTCTCAGGTTTTTTGCGCACCCCCCCCCCCCGCTCCTTATTCCATATTATTTTCCAGCTTGCCACGACCGACGATCACGTGAAACATTATAGAATCTAGATACAAACTTTTGTACATCAATTTATATTTTCTAATGAAACTGGTTTGTTCCTAAATGGGAAAAGTCGTCACAGTAATTTACTAAAATCACTAAAATGTCATGATCTCTTGTTCATTTATTCACTAAAGGAGAAATAAAACAGATTTCTGCTTACTAATACAGGGGTTTGAGGTTGAATGTGCCCCCCCCCCCCCCTCCTCTTTTATTTCAACCCCCCGTTTATTAATTTTGGACCACTTGTCCACCCCCACCCCACTTTTATTCCTGCCCCCTTTTATTCGATACCTTAGAGTACGTCACAGGCAACCAAAAGATATTTTTAATAGCACAACTTGATACAAGAAAGAAATTCTATAGTGAACACATTTTTGCAGTAAAGGTTCTCAAAACATGCGTTCAAATAAGCATAGATCTACAGTTGCGATTAGAAAAAAATGTCGGATTTGCTTTTAAAAGCGATATTGCCCCAGCTGCAAACCTTCTAAACTCTGTAGAATCCACCTACTTTGATCTTTGATTAGCATTTATTAAATAATTTTCTAGAATAATTTTCTAGCAGGTGTTTACAAAATTTTGATGTGGTAAGACAAATTGGTGCAAGTCATAGTGCAAAAGTTGGAGAACCTATGTATGTTCGATAGTTGAGGAGATATAAAAATTTGACAATAAGTTGCGCCCACGAATTTTTTTTACCATACTTTAAAAAATATATATTTCGATTGTACTTCAATCTCCCTCACAGCACAGGGGACAATGGCTGTCACCACCACACTCCTTGTCAGTTAGTTGGCCGAAGATTTTCTGAGACGCACTCCTGTACACAGATGCACAGCTTTGGGAGGTCAAACTGCTTATCATTAGCTGCAGATCACACATATAGCCACTAAAACTGTCGCAAATCAATTATTTTCAAGAAAACTTCAAACTTAATTGCAAAATATCAAATTATGGGTTAAAACAGCCCCCCCCCCCGATTTTTTTAACTTGGTATAGAGGCAGAAAACAATTTGATTGGTCTACCTCCGTCGGAGACGTCTCCGAATGGATAGTGCGCAGTTTGTTAGTTAGTGTTTGAACGCTTAATCAACTGCTTTAACTGCATGCTTCCCGGGAAGCTGAGAATGATTCTGAGTGTTCTATGGTCTGCTAGGGCAATAATATAGTGTAAAGCGCATAGAGCTTGCTGTTGAGTGGGGGCAAGCGCTATACAAATGCTATTCATTTATTTATTTATTTATTTATTATAATTAAACCTCTCACGAACACGGTTTTTAATTACATTAGAGTATTATTATCCAAACATATTGACACAATGTCTAACTGGTAAGTATGTGGCAAGTTAAGGCAAACTATCGCCGGGGGGCCAGATCTGGCCTGCAGTTTCAGTCCGGCCCTCAAGTGGACCCAGTTATTAATAAATGAATGTGGTGGTCCACAGTCAGCTAATATGTAATAAAAACCAAACTATTCGTCTAAAAAATTAAGATTTATAGGTTGAAGCCCAACGACAGGCAGCGGCAGCGGATCTAATATTTCATTTAATGAAAGCTCTTGATGGTCACATGGGGCTATAATAGTGTTAGTTTTATAGTTACTTTTGAGAGTTTGTGTATTTCAAACATTTTTTACCTAACTTTTGTTCTGTTTCGCCCGGCTCTCGATTTGGACATGCTTGCCCGTGCATGCTCTTTGGTGGAGTTAGGTTCTTGTTCTTAGTTGAATGTTCGTCCACATCAGAAAGTGATGTTCAGTTGCGTCACCCAGCAGGCGTGGTATAGATCTATATAGCCTAATGTGTAGAAAAATACTCCAACTTTCTGGAATTTGGTCCCTCAAAAAGAAACATGAGTGTGTCCGTGTTGGTGACCATATGACACGTGATCTCGCTTTTTATTTTCAAGATACACAATCTTCCAACCCCTTTCCATTCCCTAAGCCATCCCAACCCTCCACTACAATCCCCCCCCCCACCACACACACACACTCTCTCTCTCTCTCTCTCTCTCTCTCTCTCTATCTGTCACTTATACACACACACACACACACACACACACACACACACACCCTTTTTTCCTCGTGTTTGTGTTTGCTGACGTTGGAGGACTCAGGGGGAGAGCACTCGTGCGAGCTGTGAGGACAAAGCGCTAGCGCTTGAAGGTATCTGCACACAGACCGATGACGTCAATGTAGTAGTGCTTAACGGACAGCTCAAGGGCTCGCCGCACTCTCGCCAGAACTTGCTACAGAGCTGCACACAAAACGGTTACGTCCTCCCAGCAGTGACCACAGGTCAGCTTTTGAGCTAGATCTCATCTCTCTGTGAGCCGGTGAACTGTGGCTAGGAGCAGGCGGTGGACAGCGTCTGCAGTATGCTCACCTCACACGGTACTCGGCCCTCACAGGAGCACAGAGCCTCCACACACAATCTGGGGATGCAACAAGAGACACAATTACACATTGATATCGTGGCCATCTAAGTTTAGTTTTAGTAGAGGGTTTACGGCGCTCATAACTGCATAAGGTCGAAGATTAGAGGTGCTACAAGGGTGTATTACGACAGATATGCGAGAAAACAATCGAACACAAAAAAGAATCCAACATCGTCTTTATAGACACGGAGAAGGCTTTTGACAGAGTAAACCATGCAAAACTCTGGAAGACACTCAAAAAGTATGGCGTCAGAGGACAAATGTTAGATAATGTCACAGCTCTATATACCAATAGCAGAAGCAGAGTAAGAACGAAGGAAGGTAATACAGACTGGTTCAAAGTAAAGTCTGGAGTACTACAGGAATGCATTCTATCTCCCCTCCTGTTAATAATATATATGGACAGAATAACGCAAGAAGCAAACCTAAATGAATTTCTGTTCGCAGACGACCAATGTCTTATTCATCATGACCAACAAAGCCTCCAAAATCACACTACCGAACTCAACAACACCTGTGAGAAATTAAACATTAAAACAAACACATCAAAAACAGAAGTTATGAAAGTGAGCCGAAACCATAGCCCCCGGAACTTCCATGCCGATAGTAAAAAACTGAAACAGCTGAAGGAGTTTAAATATCTTGGCAGCACTTTTTCTGAAAACGTGTCCACAGACAGAGAAATAGAAATGCGAACTCAAAAAGCCAACGCTGTCACCTACCAGCTCTCACCCCTCCTATCTCATTCAAACATCTCAATGGACACAAAGAGAGAGCTTATCACCTCAGTATTCATACCAACATTATGTTATCAGTGCCAGACCTGGACCTTAAGCAAAACCCATGAAAGCAAAATCGCCGCATGCGAAATGAAATGTCTCCGCAAAACCCTTAATGTCATAAGATGAGACAGGCAGAGAAATGAAGAAGTAAGAGCAGCTATCGACACTGAGTCCTGCCTGCGTTACATAGAAAGACAGAGGATAAAATGGTTTGGCAACCAGTTACGCATATCACCTGACCAGCCAGCCTCGGGAGCCTACAACATCAAACACTCAGGCTATAAAGGAAGAGGAAGGCCACGCAAAAGGTGGATCGAGGGTGTCAAGGAAACCGTAAGAAAACATAACATCACAATTGAAAGAGCTGCGGAGCTGGCCTTCCATAGAAAACTGCATCTCCCCATGACGCTTAACGGCAACAGAGGATGAAAAAGTAAAGTAATGTAAAAGTAGACAAGGGAGTAACAAACATTAAAAAGAAGAAGGGGAGATAAAGACGATTGATGTTTGATGATAGGAAAGAAAAAGCAAACTGTCTGTCTGTCTGTCTGTCTGTCTGTCTGTCTGTCTGTCTGTCTATCTGTCTGTCTGTCTGTCTGTCTGTCTGTCTGTCTGTCTGTCTGTTTGTTTTACATTTCTAACCTTAAACCCCATATTGATAATATGTCATGAAACATACCCCACCATTTGACAGAAAGAGAATAACGATGTGTGTCCCTTGAAAGCAAGACCATCTCTCACAACACCATAAGTTGTACTGACCCAAGCCAAGCTTTGGCGCTTTGGAGTGTCATATTACAGGTTAGTGTGAGTAGTGTGTTGAAATAAGTATATCTAGCGTTTGTCGTGTTCATTGTTGTGTTGTGTGAGAAAGTGTGTACAAGGGGGGGGGGGGCTGCTCTTGCAGACCTATGATTAAATATATATGTTTTTGTTAGTGTTTTACGGCGCTCGCAACAGCATAAGGTCATATGAGCGCGCGGGACACATTAAACATTTTCAGTTTGTAGGAAGTTTTGAATTTTGCCCGGGTGGCGGCGGAAGCCTACTCTTATCGATTTTAGACCACCAAGGGATATTTAACGTGCGCAACTTGCACACGGATCCTCCGAGATTTTTGGCCCTTGTCCGAAAAAGCTAAGTGTAGATCTGTCCTACCCGAAAATCAGGGGTGTGGCTGAAAGACAGCAGAATGAAGGAGAAAAGGAGTAGCAGTAGAAAGAAGGGGGCAAAGGAGATGAGGGGATGGGGGCAGAAAGTGGAGACGAAAGCAAACGACAGAATATTGCTAGAGAGCAGGAAAGGAGGTGAAAGGAGACAATTTTAAAGCAGAACATTTTTCGGTCGCTACCCAGATTCGAACCCGGGACCTTTGAATGAGAGGCGAACACCTTAAACTGTAGGCCACGAGAGCCCCCTATATTATTTTAGGTTAGATTTGGATTTGAAATGTCTTCCATTATTATGAACCTATTGACTCTCACCACACTTACGCTAAGGAACCATCCACCAATCTCGTTTCATGTACCTAACGAATCAAATACCCCCCCCCCCTTTTCCCGCTACCCCAACCCTTGTTCCATCTTACTCCAGCTTCTTTTTTTTTTTCGTTCCCCTGCTAGATCTCAGAGGTACTCGATTGCTGGTCTTCAAACTGCATTTCCGATGATTTGACCGGTTTTCTTACTTTGTAGGGCTACTTGCCTTCAGGCAGCAACATTCTGATTTCAAAAGTACTCTGCATTTTTTATACTGACAGGAGTATTATCAGTTTTTATACATATTTTGAATTTTGCCCTGGTGGCAGTCGAAGCCTACTTTCATCGATTTTAGCAACACTAAGGGATCTCTAACGTGCGCAACGTGTACACAGAACCTCCAAGAGTTTTCGCTTTTATCTAAAGAAGGCCTGGGTGTTAGATCTTGACTACTCTAAGATCAGGGGTGTGGCTGAAAGAAGGCGGTAAGAAGGAGCCAAGAGTTGCTCCCTGAGGTTACCTCATGAACTCTTCCATATGTAGTAAAATGGGGGAATTCCTCACCATACTTTTCAATTGGATTGTGAGACAAGTGTTATAGGAGCACCATATTATGTAGAAAGAGGACACATCCTCCACAACAGTTTTACTTTGGATCTGATAAGTTAGGAAACGAAACATAATATGAATTCTACGATATCACTATCCCATACTTCCATTTTTCAACTTAATTAAAAATTTAATATTGCGGGGATGAGGGGAAAGCGCTGTAAGAGGCAGCACCCATGCCAAAATTTAAAAAAGACAGGCATACAAGAAAGTAAAGCTGAATTGAAAAATAAAAACTGGCAGACAAAAGCAATTAATGATTAAAACTGAATGTCAAACAGATTTCTGTTGGTTCTAAGGGCTGTAAGTGAGGTGTGTGGAATTACCCGGGTGTGGAATTCTCCCACCTTCCCAAATCCCTGCTTCCTCCACCCACCGACCCGCAGTAAACAATATAATCCCAAAAAGCAAGAACAGACATTTATATATGACATGTACATGCATTTACTAATGTCCTGTCTTGTTGTCCGTATGCGTGAGTGCATCTAACCTTTGTAACATCCACTGCATTTGTAAACGACCAAGACAAATTTCCCCCTCCGAAATGAATAAAGATTAACCTTGTCATTATTGTCACTACTGTCATTCCCACTTATCTTGTGGACACATCCACGCCCTCACTACGCCAGATTCACACACATCATGAACAGATATACCTCTTCCACCCCCTCCCCCCTTTCCCCCGCCACCACCACCTCCATCACACGAAAAAAGGTTTCTCCCTCTTACGTAATAAATCTATTCACACCCTCTCCCTCCGTCGCCCACTCCCCTATTCCCAATTTGGTCATGAATCTATAGACACCCCCCTCCACCCTATTCTTTCTGGGCGCCTCCCCCTCCCCCTCCGCCCCCCCCGACCCCCGCCTTTTTCACCCCAATATCCACTTACCTCATGAACCCATCCACCTCTACGACTTGCTTGCAGTTCTGGAGTCGGATGTTCCGGATCTTCTGACAGTCGTCCTTGACCTTGACCCAGTGCAGGCTGTTGGGCTGACACAGACCGACCCCCTCAGAGGTGTCCACCGGCCGGATCCGGCTGGTAGATGAGGTAGAGGGACGCCGTGGGGGAGCGGGAAGAGCGGAGGAACCGGATAGACTTTTGCTAGATCTTTCACTGGAAGAGGCAATGGTCACAGGGGTTGTAACGTCACCAGAACCGGTATCGGTGCTAGACCCGGAACCAGTATCCAAACTTGCATGAGCCGAGACATTGGTAACAACAGGGACTTTTATACCAGAACTACCACTGGTACCAGAATCGGAACCGGTTTTTCTTCTATCCGAATCAGAACTAGACTTGGAGCGGGTAATACCAGGGACTCCAGAACTTACACGGTTCTTTGGAACAGAACCGAGGTCGACTTCAGAACCGGTCGCAGCGCGGGCAAGGGTTCCGTGCTGTCTCTTACAGCGCCTTCCCCTCATCCAGGCTTGGGCCATGTGCCGGGCACTGTCCAGCCTCCTGCCACGCTTGTCCTTCACATCGTCCCGCGAGTGTCCGTTGAAATCTCCACACATCCCACACAGCTCCCCCACACCGGCCCGCCGCGCGTCCAGCCGGATAGAGAGGTTGTCCCGCATGTTCCAGGCCAGCCTTACCCCCAGAGAGGAGCGGAGGAAGACCCGTGGAGGTTTGACCCGCACAGAGAACTGGCCAGACTTCCAGCTCGAGGTGTAGTGAACGGTGCTGTTGATCCGAACTTTGAAGGTTCTGTACAGCTTGATTCTTGTCGAGCCGAGTTGGACGGAGACCAATTCGATGACTTTGTTCGATCCCTCTGTTCTTCGATTCGACGCAGTCGGATAATGTGCGGTGTTGTGCAGCTTTACTGACGTAATGCCGCTACCCCTAGCAACGGACAGATGTCCAGACGAGGATTCTTGGTCTCCACTGACACTATCAGAACCAATCGTCTTTGAACTGGTGGTGACGTTTTCTCCTGGTCCAGTGACGTCACCACTTCCTGTTGTTTCCCGAGGTTTATACTCTTGTCGTCGTCGGCGGCGACGACTGTGACTCCCGGAGTAGCGGATCCTGATGCTCAGAGATTTGTCCATGCAAGACCGAACCAGCTCGTGGGTACACTGACCGGACACGCTATAGCGTAGACCATCGAAGGTGGTCACCCGCCGGCCTTCCACGCCACGGACAGAACATCGGGACTCCCCTATATTGTTAATAGTTGGGGGATTAAAGGTGTGGTGGAGAGGGGGGTGGGGGGCGTGAGAGGTTGGGTGCAGGGGCGAAAAGGGCAAAAAAAAAAGGGTGGGGTTTGCGGTTGGGGGAGGTGGCAGAAAGGGATAAAAAAGAGGGAGGGGGGTAGAAAGTTGTGGAGAGGG